CCTTATCCCCTATTTCATTAGCCAGAATTGGGTCACTTGCTCACCCCCAAAACAATTACTGGCAAAGAGAATAAAATCACCATAATTGGCTGAGCTGGGCAAGGGGCTTCTTGTCCAGCAGTAGGATACCTGGCATGTCAAGAGTTCTATTGGTAAGAAAGTAGAGTGTGCAGACCAACAGTGTCTGCAACATCTAACAGTGCCCAAAATCAGGAACACTGCCAGCAAAGCAGATAAAATTGTTTTGTGGATAGAAATACTCATGCTAATGGGATTGTTTTGAGCATCAAATGAGACAGTGCATGCAAAAGTGCGATATGCAAAGTACTGTTTTTATTTTTTTAATATTTATTTATTTATTATTGATTTTAGAGAGAGAGAGGAAGGGAGAGAGAGAGAAACACCGATTTGCTACTTGTGTTTTTTTCCTGATTCCTAGATGCTAATCTGTCAAAACACAGAATTTGCATTTGGCTGCTTTGCCATTTATAGGGCAGTTTGGTACTTATGTTAAAGACTTCAACCACTTGGGGAGTCCTTGCAGAGGAGAGGATGGGAAACTGAGATGTGCATGAAACTGAGATTCTTTTCTGTTGAATCATTTTGGAAATAATTAACTTGGTTCTTTGAAAATGTAGATATTGCTTTTCTTTTCCCCCACCCCATCTCTTCCTAAAAATCTTTGCTCCAGATTTCTGGTCAAAGTGGATGCACATGTAAACATGCTTTGCTTCCTCATGCAGCCACAAAAAGAATTACAACTAGACCTCAAAACAAATAATACCCAGAACCATCAGAAAACCGAGCTGTATGGAAGTCTGACAACCAAGAAGCCACATTCATCTAGACAGTTAGGAGGTGTGGAGATGCCGTGTGGCATGGAGAGAAGGCAGCAGTGGTGGTCCCACATTCGCATGTGTTGGATAAAAATTGGGAGGGATTGCTTGGGAACAAGCGATCCCAGCCCCAGGCAAGACGGCACAGCCCAGGGTTCCAGTGCCAGGAAGATAAATCCCCATTGCTTCTGTCTGTAAAAAACAGTGGGGATTGGGGTGGGGAAGAAAATGCCAGATTTTCAGGAGATTCTGTTTCAAGGGCCCACATGCCCTTAGAATATACACAGACCCACCGCAGGGCAACAGCTGGATGGACAACAGTCACATATAGGGAGTAAGTGAAGTGACTGGAAACAGGGCTAGTGCTGAGCAAACCTCCAGAAGCCAAACAGTGGCGTTGTCCCCTCTCCAAGTCCTCCCCGACACTGAGCCACAAAGAGGTGAAGCAGGTTGCCCTGCCCTGGTGATTACTTAAGGCTCCACCCCAAATAATTTACAGGTGCTCTTCAACAATAGGTCATGTTACTAATACAGGGAGTCAAAGCAGTTCTACCTAATAGAAGCAAATACTAGGAGACTGCCAAAATGAGGAGACAAAGAAATATGGCCCAAATGAAAGAACAGAACATAAGTCCAGAAAAAGAACTAAACGAAGCAGAGGTAACCAACCTATCAGATGCAGAGTTAAAAACACTGGTGATCAGGATGCTCCAAGAACTCATTGACTACAACCAAAGGATAAAAAAGACCCAGGAATAAATGAAGGTTACACTAAGTGAAATAAAGGAAAATCTATAGGGAACCCAGCAGTGGAGGGGATGAAGCTGGGATTCAAATCAATGATTTGGAATATAAGGAAGAAATAATCATTCAACTAGAACAGCAAGAAGAAAAAAGAATTAAAAAAAAGAACCCCCGAAGACAGTATAAAGAGCTTCTAGGACATCTCTACACATACCAACATCTGAATCATAGGGGTGCCAGAAGGGAAAGAGGAAGAGCAAGAAATTGAAAACTTATTTGAAAAAAAAATAATGAAAGAAGACTTCCCTAATTTGGCAAAGGAAATAGACATACAAGTCCAGGAAGCACAGAGAGTCCCAAAGAAGTTGGATCCAAAAAAGAACACACCCAGACACATCATAATTAAAATGTCAAATGTTAAAGATAAAGAGAGAATCTTAAAAGCAGCAAGAGAAAGGCAGAGAGTTACCTATAAAGGAGTTCCCATAAGACTATCAGCTGATTTCTCAAAAGAAGCTTGCAGGCAAGAAGAGACTGGCATGAAGTATTCAAAGTGATGAAAAGCAAGGACCTACAACTGAGATTACTCTATCCAACAAAGTTATCATTTAGGATGGAAGGGCAGATAAAGTGCTTGCCAGACAAGGTAAAGCTAAAGGAGTTAATCATCACCAAGCTATTATTACATGAAATGTTAAAGGACTTAAGAAAAAGAAGAAGATCAAAACTGTGAACATTAAAAAGACAACAAATTCACAACTATCAACTGAATCTAAAAAACATAACAAACCAAGCAAACAAGCAGAATAGAAACAGAATCATAGATACAGAGATCATTTGGAGGATTATCAGCTGGGGGAAAGAAAGGGGAGATTGAGGAAAAAGGTGCAGGGATTAAGAAGCTTAATTAGTAGGTACAGAATAGACAGATGAATAAAAGAATAGTATAGGAAATGGAGAAGCCAAAGAACTTATATGCATGCCCCAGGGACATGAACTGAGGGTGGGGGAAATTGTTGGAGGGAATGGGGCTACTGGGTTGAGGGAGGCAAAGAGGGAAAATTGGGACAACAGTAATAGCATAATCAATAAACTATATTTAAAATCTTTGCTCCACTCTGAGTTGTTTCTTCATGTTCTTGGTGTGGGTATAATGATATTTGAGAATTTTGAAATTCAGACCATGAAATGAAATACTCTGTGGTTAAGCCACAGTGCCAATGGGATACTGTCACTGAGGGTACCACTAACTACACAACTACATAGAATACCAGTGTTTACATTCTACTTGTACCTTGTCCTGCGATCTCCAGATCCTATTTTATAGTGGGAAGAGTAAACCTGGACGAACAATACAGAGGTGAGATCCAGAGTTAAGCAACAATGCATTCTTGGCAAACATGTACAAATAAACAAAGCTACTCATGGGTAAATTTACAAAGAGGACAATGCCTCCTTTGGTGCCCACCCAATTCTCTTGTGCATGTCTCTATTCCCTGTTTCCTTTCTTCCATTGATGAGATTATAAGAGTTCCCCACTTGTAGCAACTCAGAGTCCTCTCCTGAGTTGCAGCCTTCCCAACGCTCTCTCTCCCAGCCCTTGTTCCAAAATTGTCATGAGCATTCTCCCCTTCCTATCCCCAACCCACAGCCCATTCTCTTTCAGCATGGCTCATCCGTGCTGGGTGTTAGGATAGGGTGATTGAGTAAATCAATCTACTTTAAGGCATGATGACTGAAGATATTTACCTTTAAAAGAGATGCTTCTAACACAAATGAATCTGTAATTCTAGGGATTTTAGGCAGCAACTAAGAGAAGAAAAAGTGAAGATTTTCAGGCTGTGACAGAGAAGAGAGAAGTAGAAATTTGGGAACATCTTTGATATATTACCCACTTAGTCCACAACGAACTTAATCTACTTAAAGTCAAGTCTAGAATCACTTCCTCATCTGGGAGAGAAGTAGAAAGGAAAGCAAGGGGAAATTTTTCTTCTGAAGTCATGAGGTACCTTCCCTTTTGCCTCCTACACCCTCTTTTTATGTCACCAATCATGGATGTCTCTGGTCTATGTCCTCAGTGAATCCAACATGGGTTTATAATCGCACAAACTGTAATAAAGATAAAAAACAGAAAATAAACAGCTACTCCAGAGTATCTTTTCCTAGAAGCACTCCTAAGATATCAGACTTTGGATCAATCTGTTTGCAAGGTTCTTGTTGCATAGGCAGAGTTGTGAAAATAAACAAATCCAGCCCTGGCCAGCATGGCTCAGCTGGTTGGAGTGTCATCCCATGACTGAAGGGTTGCGGGTTTGATTCTCCATCAGGGTACATACTAGGTTACAGGTTTGGTCCCTGGTCTGTGGACTTATAATCCCTGGCCCAGGAGTGTACGGTAGGCAGCCAATAAATGCTTCTCCCTCATACCATTGTCTCTTTCTCTCCCTTCTTTTATCTCTAAAAAAGCAGTGAAAAGAATAATCTCAGGTGAGGGTTAAAAAAATTAAAATAAGCAAACCCAGACAAGTAAAAAGCGACAATGATAATGACATATCTGTGGGCTCTAATGTTCTCAGGTCCCTGTTGTGTCCCTAATGAGAAGAGTCCAAAAGAAAGTACAGGTTCTTTAAGTTAAGCCTGATGAACTTCTTCTTGTAGTAAATATCAAAAGCAGGTAAAGAATTGATAGCACTGAACAAAACAGAGCACTAAGAGGTTCTGCTACTGACTATTCCTCTCATAATAATGCACAAAAATAAGTTTGTGCTTAACTGTCTGTAATAGCAAAAGATTTGGGGGGCATGAAATGTCCACCAATAGGGAACTTGTTAAATAAATGATGGTGCATCTAATCAATGAAATACTAGGCAGCTGACCAAAAGGACGAGGATGCTATCTATTCACTGGCATAGGAGCGCCTTCCTAGAGATTGAATATATAAAGGTGCTTTTTGTTAAGAAGGGGGAACAAGGAATGCACTTATTCACATTTGTTGCATTTGCGTAAGTAAATGATAATTAGGTGGTTACTTGTACAGAGAAAGTGGGCAGGGGAGTGAGATAAATGGGAACAGGAGTGGGAGCCAGACTCTTTACCACTTTATATTGTTTGGATTTTTGAGGCATAAAAACAGATTACCTATTGAAAAAGCCTTTATGATTAGAACTTGAAATATTTTCAAACTGTCGAGCCTTTAATATATTATTCCCCAGTGAACTAGGTTGAACTAGGACAATGGACTCCATGGGACACAAGAGGAAACAGAACCTCAAAGTGATGTGGATAAGAACCCACCTCTGGGACAGCTAAGCTGAGCCGACGTGCGGGGCTTACCCTCTCCACATGGACACGCTTACCAATGCTTTCTCATTTGGAGACTCCAGTTTGGAAGCAGTCTTGAAGATGGGTCCCCTAGGAGGAGAAGTTGTAAAGCAGTAAGAAGAAAGCATTTCAATTTGGAACAATATTTTTTGCAACTGGAAATGGGGAATGAACTGTCAGACCAGACTTCTATCCTGTCCAGCCTGCCTTCATTTCAGTCCTATCACATTGTTATTCTGGGTTTAGACTGTGCTGGAAAGACAACTGTATTATACAGGCTGCGGTTCAATAAATTTGTAAGTACCATACCTACCAAAGGATTTAACACCAAAAAAATTAAGGTAACCTTGGGAATTTCTAAAACAGTCACTTTTCACTTCTGGGATGTAGGCCAGGAGGAATTAAGACCACTGTGGAAGTCATACACCAGATGGACAGATGGCATTGTGTTTGATGTGGACTCTGTTGATGTTGAAATGATGGAAGAAGTGAAAACTGAACATCATAAAATAACTAGGATATCAGAAAATCAAGGATTCCCTGTACTTATAGTTGTTCACAAACAAGACCTAAGGAACTCATTTCTCTCAGAAATAGAGAAATTGTTAGCAATGGGTGAACTGAGCTCATCAACTCCCTGGCATTTGCAGCCCACCTATGCATTCCTAGGAGATGGACTAAAGGAAGAACTTGAGAAACTACATGATATGATAATTAAAAGAAGAAAAACGTTGTGGCAACAGAAAAAGAAAAGATGAATGGCAATACCTTTCATACCTGTGTGGAGTAGGTTTTCTGTGGTCTGATTTTGACAAATGGAAGAGCGTGTACAGCCTGGTTTGCCTGCCTGCCCTCCTGGATGCTGTTAAGCTTGTTTTTATGAACAGTCAGATGCCCAACTCTGTTGCCTTGTGAAGATGAGTAAATGCAGTGCTTCTTAAGATGATCTCTTCTCCCTACCCCACAAATCTTTTGGTACTACCATTTTGGGAAGTCAAGCAAAGACAGTAAATTGACCAGAAAACAGTTGTGGAAATTTGACCTGAAGTTAGTGAAATAAAATCTTAAAATTAAAGAAAAGAACCCACTTCTGCCATTCTTTGATCCTGGGCTTCACTTTTCTAACCCTACCTGTATAATGGAGATAATGATAGAATCGAAATGATGAATGTGGAATGGCAAGTGAGGACATAGTAAAAGTTAGCTATCGCCATTCTTATTATTGCATAGCTGATTGGTGGCTGGGATACTAGAACCAGGTCTCCTGACGTCTATCTCCTCCACTTTATGTTTCCCTGGAAGGTATACAGGAAAGCGGCTGTTCTTTGCTGTTCAAATATGTACAGACTTCTGGGAAGGAAGGCAGCTTCAAAGAGCTGAGCAACTTGGTGTTGATTAAACAAAAAACCCTGAAATGAACAGTTTTTCCCTCTAAAAGTTGTCCTGTCCTCGGTTCATCATAGCACTTTAAAACTTAACGTTAATGGATGAACTAAAATGATGTTTGAGGTTTTATTTAAAATAATATAAGGTTATAGTTGCATGCAGGCCTGGGTGCTGAGTACAGAGTTGCTGGAGCAGATAGTAGATCCCTGGCTAAAGGAGGCACAGAGCTTCTAGAGACACTTGAGGAGAGACTGGAGATGGAGGCATAGGGGAGAGAACTGAAGGAGTAGCTGCGGGGATCCTGATGCTGACTCCTCCTCCACCCCTCAGTGTCCATCTTGCTCAGGCAGACCACTCCCTTGAGTGGCAGCAGCCTGAAAGGAGCCACACCCTCAAGAGACTCTGCCCTGCCCTGTGGTGCCTGAGCCTGATGGCTAAGGGCAGAGTGACTAGGATAAAAAGTGCAGGAAACAGACACAGACAGTAGATTCCAGGAAGTCTCAAACATACTGCCTAAGGTCAAACGGGATCAATATCTGACATCATCAGAGGGAGACCCAGAAAGCAAAAATGGCACTCTCCTACCATAGAAGTTCACACCAAAAATGTCAGGAAATTAAAGTAGATCAATTTAAGAAGCAGAAGCAAAAAAGAAGAGCCTGACAAATAATGGGAAGAAAATGAAACTCACCCCAATAAAAGGGAAAGGAGGACTCCCCACAAAGAGAACTGAATGAAATAGAGGCAAGTAAACTATCAGATATTAGATTAAAAACAATTGTTCTAAAGAAGTGCAATGACATTAGTGAGCTCAGAGAGAATTACAAGAAACTACAGGGAAACTATGAGGAACTTACTGCAAACTATATGAACATGAAAAAGGACATAGAAACTATCAATAAGAGATAAGAGAAAATGAAGAATACACTTTCTGAATTGAAGAACACAATAGAAGGAATCAAAAGCAGGCTAGGTGAAGCAGAGGATTGAATCAGCAAGCTAAAGGACAAGGTACAAAAAAAGCTTCCACAAAGAACAAGAAATTGAAAGAAGACTAAAAAAGAATGAAGAGACATTGAGGGAAATGCAGGACAACCTGAAACGTAATAATATCCATAAAACAGGGATACTAGAAAGAGAAGAAGAGGATGAGGAAGGAATAGAGGACCTGTTTGAAAAAGTAATGATGGAAAACTTCCCTTGATGAAGGAGAGAAGAAGTAAGACAAGTAGAGGAAGCACAGAGGGCCCCATTCAAGAGGGACCCAAGGAGGTCCACTCCAAGACACATCATCATTAAAATGGCAACTATCAAAGACAAAGAGAGAATCCTCAAGGCAGCAAGGGAGAAGGAGAAAGTAACATACAAGGAGGCCCCGATAGGGCTAGGAGCTGACTTCTCAAAAGAAACACTATAAGCCAGAAGGGAATGGCAAGAAATATTCCAAGTCATGAAAAGCAAGGGTCTACAGCCAAGGCTGTTCTATCCAGAAAGGCTCTCAATTAAAATAGAGGTGAAATAAGGAGTTTCCCAGACAAAAGAAGGCTAAAAGAATACACCTCCACCAAATCAGCATTGGAAAATATGCTAAAGGGACTGCTATAAGAAGATGAAGAAAAAGAGTGAGAGAGAGAAAAACACAGGTAGAAACGGAAAAAATGGATAAGTTTCTATCAATAATAATTCTCAATGTAAATGGACTAAATGCCTCAATCAAAAGACACAGGGTAGCTGAATGGATAAGAAAACATGACCCATACATATGCTGCCTACAAGAGACCCACCTCAGAGCAAAACACCTACACAGATTGAAAGCAAAGGGATGGAGAAAAAAAAAATTCCAAGCAAAGGGGCAAGAGAAGAAAGCAGGAGTTGCAATACTTATATCAGACAATAAGATTTTAAAACAAAGGCCATAAAAAGAGACCCAGAGGGACCCTTTATAAATACTTAAAGGAAGAATCTATCAAGAAGACATCAACATTATAAACTTATATGCACCCAACATAGGGGCTCCCAAGTATATAAGGAAATTGTTGGATGACTTCAAAAAAGATATAGACAGCAACACACTGATAGGAGGGGATTTCAACACCCCACTGTCAAAAATGGACAGATCTTCCAAACAAAACATCAATTAGGATATTGTAGAGCTGAATGATGCACTGAATCAAATAGACTTAACTGACATATATAGAACCTTACATCCCAAAGAAGCAAAATACACACTTTTCAAATGCTCATGGCAGTTTTTCAAAGATAGACCACATGATAGGGAACAAAGCAAGCCTCAGCAAATTCAGGAAAATTGAAATAATACCAAACTTTTTCTCAGACCACAAGGCCTTGAAACTCGAAATCAACCTCAAAGAGAAACCTCAAAAACTTGCAAACTCATGGAGACTGAACAGCAGACTATTAAACAATGAATGGGTCATAATGAGATAAGAGAAGAAATCAAAACATTTCTGGAAACAAAGGAAAATGAACAGACAACAGTCCAAAACCTATGGGACACAGCAAAGGCAGTCCTGAGAAGGAAGTCATAGCAATACAGGCTTACCTAAAAAAGATAGAAACATTTCAAATAAAAGACCTAACACTACAACTTCAAGAACTGGAGAAACAACAACAAATAAATCCCAGAGCAAGAAGAAGGAAGAAAATAGTCAAGATTAGAGCAGAACTGAATGACATAGAGACGGAAAGAACAATTCAAAGGTCAGTCAATCCTGGAGCTGGTTCTTTGAAAAGATAAATAAAATCGACAAGCCTTTAAGCACACTCATGAGGAAAAAAAGGGAGAGGACCCAAATAAATAATATCAGAAATGAAAGAGGAGAAATAACAACTGACACCACAGAAATACAAAGGATTTTCAGAAACTACTATGAACAATTATATGCCAAGAAATTTGAAAACCTTCATGAAATGGACAAATTTCTAGAAAAATATAATCTTCCAACACTGAAGGACGAAGGAACAGAAAGCTTGAACAGACCGATAACAACTAGGGAAATTGAAGCAGTAATCAAGAAACTCCCAGCACACAAAAGCCCTGGGCTGGATGGTTTCACAGGAGAATTTTACAAAACATTTAAGAAAGAGCTAACCCCTGTCCTTCTCAGACTATTCCAAAAAACCCAAGAGGGAGGGAAGACTCCCAGACTCTTTTTATGAGGCCAGCATCACCCGAATTCCAAAACCAGATAAAGACACTACAAAGAAAGAAAACTACAGGCCAATTTCGCTGATGAACATAGATGCTAAAATCCTCAACAAAATATTGAGAAACCGTACCCAGCAACACCTTAAAAAGATTATACACCAAGACCAAGTGGATTTCATCCCAGGGATGCAGGGATGGTTCAGTATACGCAAGTCAATAAACGTAATCCATCAGATAAATAAAAGACAAGACAAAAACCACATGATCATCTCAACAGACGCAGAGAAAGCATTCGATAAGGTTCAGCACCTGTTTATGATGAAAACACTCAGAAAAATGGGAATAAATGGGGGCATTCCTCAACATAATAAAGGCCATATATGAAAAACCTACATCCAACATCATACTCAACGGGCAAAAACTAAAAGCTTTCCCACTAAGATCGGGAACATGACAAGGAGGTCCGCTTTCACCGCTTCTCTTCAACATGGTATTGGAAGTTCTAGCCACAGCAGTCAGACAATAAAAAGAAATAAAAGGCATCCAAATAGGAAAGAAGTAAGTAAAAGTATCATTGTTTGCAGATGACATGATAGTGTACGTAGAAAACCCTGTAGACTCCACCAAAAAACTCCTCAACCTAATAAGTGAATATGGCAGAACAGCAGGATACAAAGTCAATATTCAGAAATCAAAGACATTTTTGTACACCAGCAATGCAATAGAAGAAGAAGAAATCAGTGAAAAAATACCATTCGATATAGCAACAAGTAAAATAAAGTACCTAGGAATAAATTTAAACAAAGAGGTAAAAGACCTGTACACAGAGAACTATACAACGCTGAAGAAAGAAACTAAGGAAGACACAAATAAATGGAAGCATATACCGTGTTCATGGATTGGAAGAATTAATATCATCAAAATGTCCATACTACCCAAAGCAATTTATAGATTCAACACAATCCCTATTAAGATACCAATGACGTATTTCACAGACATAGAACAGACATTTCAAAAATGTATATGGAACCATAAATGACCCTGAATAGCCACAGCAATTTTGAGGAAGAAAAACAAAGCAGGAGGGATCACAATACCAGACATAAAACTGTAGTACAAGGCCACCGTAATCAAAACAGTCTGGTATTGGCACAAGAACAGACACATAGATCAGTGGAACAGAATAGGAAGCCCAGAAATAAA